TCAACCCTAAACCCAAAACACCCAACCTTTCATCCTAAGCCCTATAAATCTTGACTGCCAAACCACATCTCCGCGGGGACTGCCCCATGACAGACTTATAAAACATCATAGTGGTATACTCCAAGCAGCAATTACAACAGTAATAGCAGCATTTCATGATACTGCTGATGGACAAAATCCTGCATGACTTCAGGGACCCTAAACTATGGGAACTTTTGTCCATCAGCCGTAGGAACTGCTCCCCATGTGGAGGGCGTACCCAGTGTACTCGCACGGTCGGAAGGCCTCGTTGCAGGCTTTGCGAGAGTCGGACACCTGCAAATTCTGCACCCCGAGGGTCCATGTTCTCCTATAGTATATACATAGGCCCCAATGTAGTCCCTATACAGGTATTTTGGGCTCAAAGTATACTCATATGGATACATGGACCCTTAGGGGCAATTGCAAGAGCTGCTTGCCACCGCAGAATCAGCCCGGTGACCTCATATAGCGACGCCAACAAGAACAGCAGCGGCAGCAGCGGCAGTCGCAACAACGACGTTGAGGCAGAAACACTGAATTCATGCAGGTGGTGTTTTGGCTACAAGCTGTTTCAGGCTGATGTTATGAGGATGACTCCCGGAACCTTTAGGCCTGCTAAGTCGGACCACGGCGGCATCTCTGAGAATGAGGACCGTAGCCACAGTCGTAATCATCCGCCGCAACGCAGAAGGGTCAGAAGTGCCTACATAGGGTTTAGGGTTTAGGGTTTGTCAGAAGTGCCTACATGGTAGTATAGGGCTAAGCAGGGTTTCTATATCAGGAACTGCTAAATTGGTTTGGGTAAGTACCCGCAATAAAGGCACATAGTACCCTTCGGGAAGTCACAACTATCAGGATGGGAGTGTAAACGCTGACTGCCTCAAAGATCGTCGTAGTAGCAATGCCAGCTGCAGCGGCGGTGGCAGTGCAGCAGCACAGTAGTCGTCGTCGTGGCCGTAGCGGCAGTTGTTGCAGTAGTAGCAGCAAGCAGCAGCAGTAGCAGTACTAGTACAAGTGCTAGCACCAGTACAAGTCGTAGTAGTAGTGGCAGTACGAGCCCTCTGCTTTGCTACCCCTCGCCAAAGCCTGGCTGACCAGGGTGTCGCCCATCTCGGCCAGCTGGCCTCCAGAAAGCAGTTTCGTTGAGTGGAGGCTTGGCAGCCACAGCATTTATGTGGTTTGCGAGGGTTGCATACGGTGCTTTCTGGGTTTTGGAGGTTTTTTGTGTGTTTTCATCGCACGGACCGTAAGCGCTAGAACCCTTAAGCCGCAGAAATCCAATTAACACGATACCCTCAAATGGGCCCTTAAACCTCCAGGCCCCAAAGCCCCATCCAAACCTTCACTCTAAGCCCCGAGATGAGGCCTAGCATAGACGTATGCATAATGTGCACTTGCGGGGGTCATGGGACTTGGTTCGCAAGGTTTGGTGGAAGCACATATAAGTACAGTAACCTTGCTTATAACCCTAGTTCTAAGCCCCACAATGCTGCAAGTAACGATACAGCCGCATAATCTTTTTGGTAATGGGTATTTGGTTCCTATTCGAGGGTAGTTGGGGGGGGGGGTCTAGGCAGGAAATCATGCTTCCTTCCTTCACTGAAGATCTTCAGGTCAGGGATTCGGGATCACAGGATGTCGCAGGAACCCTTTACATACATATTGTTCAGCTCCGTTGAGGATGTGAAATTTCGCAGCTGTACTTGTTAGCAACTTGCCCAAACATCGTTCCCATCCCGGAAGGCCTCGAAATTCTGCCTGGTTCTTAATAAGGAATTGGGGGATTAGGTGAATGGGTTATGGGGACTATTATTTTGGATTATCAGGGACTACTATAGGGATCCATTCCCCCACTCTCTACTAAGCACCAGGGAGAATTTTTGAACATTGCCATTGCCCAAAGGGCTCCTCGCTGTAAGTGTACTATCATATGGGAATTTCCGACAATAGGGTAACCTAATATAGTACCCTAAATAGTAGGATCCTTATTACAAGGACCCCAGAATAATACCCTAAGGGTCCAAAGCACCCGATAATCAGGTACTCGGGTTTGGGATAAGGGTTATGTTGGTTACTATATTTTGGAGCATATATGATAATTAGGTACTTGGACCCTTGGGGTCATATACCCCAAAACCCTTTCCTGAGCCCAATACCGCTTAACTAGGGGATATACCTCAAACAATAATGATTCAAGAATGTTTAAGACGTCTATAATCTGAGGTATTATCCACTTATTGAGGGGTATTTGACTCCCTGGGTAGAAGTCCCATATCATGGGAGTTACCCTCCTGATGACCCTTATAACCCTCAACCCAAATCCCCTCAGCCCTACACCCTAAACCTCTACAAGGGGTACGCGCCTGCAGGCCGACATGCGAGCCTGATGCCGCATGGCACATCACGCCAAGCCAGCAAGTCGCTTTGAAGGCAGACTTGGAGAAGGACTCAGAGAGCCCATTGCTTCTTAATTAAAGGATGTACCATACATTAAAGGTGCCCAAATGAATATGATTATGGTTTAGCGCGGAATAGGGTTTAAGGCTTAGGCTTTAGGGTCCAGGGTGAAGGTTTGGGGGCTCTCGGAAGGACTCCTATCACTTAGCCGTAAATGCAGACTAAAAGCAAGAATGCATGAGTCCTAAACCGGGTTTGGGTTTAGAGTTTAGGGGTTTCGAGTTTAGGAGTTTGCATGGGTTTGAGGTTTGGGGGTTTTGGGTTTAGGGCTTCCCAAGCAAAGCGCAAGGCATTCCAGATTCCCAAGCCATATGCCTACCCGAGGATCCAAAGACCTGCCTTTTTGGGGTGTGTTTTTTTGTCTGGTGGTTTATGCCTTCAAAAGAAAGGGCGTCATAGTCATATCCTACTATGTTATAGGGTTTGAGGTTACAGGCCAACCTCATACTCCTAGCCTCAGGACGAGACCTTTGCGCACGGTGGTGGCGCGGGCCTCTGCGCTTACTGGTTGGCTGGTTTGCCAGGGCTGTCTCGAGAAGGTTGTACAGGGCGGAATATGGTCTTCCCCTGCGAAAAATAAGAACAGCATCTTGAACCCCAATAGACAGAAGCATACTCAGCAGCTAGAGGAAAAGAGTTCTACAAGGGGCACCAGGATTCAAGTTGCAGGCTCTGACGAGACTTGTTGGTTGGATAGCGTGCGTTGTAAATGGAAAGTTAACTATTAACGACGCTTTAGTGTACTGCAAAGTTTCTAGAAAGCACCTGGACTTGTAGATAAAGCAAGTCAAGACAAGGGGTTGAAGGTGCGGTGTCATGATTTATTGCGTAGAAGCTTCAACCCCAAGCTTTAGGATAGAATGCATCTAAGCCTCAGGCTCCTGTACTTGCGGGATCATAACTTATCGCCAGGCCGCAAAAGCACTAATTATTGAAGCTAATTAAATGGCACGTGACCATTAGAACGGGTTCACAGGACATCTTGTGCTATATGTCTCAGTTCGACCATGTGGAATTCAGGCTTCAGTATTCAACCCGTTGCACTAAGTCTATACCGCTCTAAACTTCCTCCAGTCTCTGGGTCCTAAGTCAGCCAAGAAATGCAGACGCCAGATGTCCAGAGGTCCATAGCGCTGTACTGAACCGATCATGGGTTGTAGTTTAAACATGAGGTAACCTTAATGTGAACTATTTGTAACACAAACCGAGCCCTTGCATCTTTACTTACTTCTCCGCCAAGTATGATAGTTACTCCTTGAAACTGCCGACCATGGACCCATATCTAATAGTGTCTACGCGCCAGGCCACACATTTCTCCGTCATGTCAACCGACCAGAGCAAGAATCCCGACAAACATCAAAAGAGATCGGGTCCAGCATTTGAACCGCATCGCGAAGGATGTAAGCTTGAGGACTAAAGAACCTACTTTTTCGGGTTCCGTATTAACATTTCCTCAAAAAGGCAGGTTCTTTAGGGTCTAGGCAGGGTTTAGGGCCTTAGGGTTCGGGAGGCACGGTCAAGTTTGCATGGCGTTTGTGTGGTGTAAGGTTTACTATAGACTCGGACCCTAGACCCTAAGGCTTACTAGACCCTGAACCCTAGGACCCTTATGTCATCCGAAACTGAGGGCTTGTGCCAGCATAGGTCGTAGAGTCCCAACCCAGAGAGCCCAACATCCCTGAATCAAGGCATATATATATATATATATACACATACATGTGTGTGTACCTCAAAACATAACGGTAAGGAGAGTAGACCTCAGCAATCACGATATTGAGGAATATGTGCTTCAAATCCTACCGTGAAGGAATATATACCTTAACTCATAAAACCAACGCCCTGGTAATATAACCCTAAGGGTCCAAGTACTCCCTATTGTAGGACTTTATAGGGCTTTTAGGTATCGAAAACCAAGGACTACATGGACCCTCAGGGTAAGGCATCTTGCATCACTACTTGGAGGCTCGGCGGACTTAGCAAGTAGGTAGTAAGTAGACTTATAAGTACCCTAACAGGGACCCTAATTGGGGTTATGGTACTTATAAGTCCCTAAAATAACCAGTTACTAAGTCCCCCGACCCTCCAAGCAGGGAAATTGGGCTGTTTGGCGACAGCTTTGGGTGCATGGTTCGATCCCCTAAACCCTAAACCCTGAACCCTAAACCCTAAACCCTTGTGCAGAGGTCTGAAAGTGCTGTTACCAACAGACATCGGCCAGCTGCATGTGCCATGGCCTCGGAGGGCTTCGGGTTTACGGTTCAGCGCTTTTGGTTTACTTGGAGGGTCGGGGGACTTAGTAACTGGTTACTTTAGGGACTTATAAGTACCATAACCCCAATTAGGGTCCCTTTTTAGGGTACTTATAAGTCTATTAACTACCTGCTTACTAAGTCCCCCGACCCTCCAAGTAGGGGTTGAGTATGTAGGGTTTCGGGTTCAGGTAAAGCCCCATCTAGAACTCAAACCAAGGTTGGAGCTGATTTCCTTTCCGCGACGCTTGAGGGCTTTGGCTCCGGAAGGCTTTAGGGCTTAAGGGTTTCGGGTTAGGGGTTTAGGGTTTAGGGGTTCAGGGCTGAGGGGAAGTCTTTTAAAGGACCAGGTGGCAAGATATCAGGGTTTCAAGCTCCACGTTCCCAACGGACCGAGCAACCAGACCAGGCACGTGGGTTTAATGTAGCGAACTTCCACTAACATTCCTTGGCATCTATCCAGCACCCTTTAAACTAAAAGGTTAGTTGCCACAGACATGTAGCTTCGTATTGGGGTTGGTCCGGGTTAAGGGCTTTCTGGCTTTTGACGCCGAGATTTAAGCATCGAAACCAATACATGCAAACCCTTTACCCGAAACTCCGCACCCTACATATTCCTGAACCATACACCCCGTCACACATTGAAAGGCCCAGTTTGTGTCACTCTTCTCACCTTCGGAATGTTTGCTTTAGCAGCTGAAAAGTTAGCATTTTAGGGCTTGTGGATGAAAACCTTAAACCCCTAAACCCTAAACACCCCTAAACCTACTATCCTTAAACCTTACTAAGCCTTAAACCCTACTAAACCCCAAACCCTACCAAACCCTAAACCCTACTAAACCTTAAACTATACTAAACCTTAAACCCTACTATCCCTAAACCCTACTAAACCCTAAACCCTACTAAACCTTAAAGCCTACTATCCCTAAACCCTACTAAACCCTAAACCCTTCTAGACCCTACACCCTACTAAACCCCAAACCCTACTAAACCCCAAACCCTTCTAAACCCTAAACCTTCGACAGCTCCACGAGGCGGCAGTGCCACGTCTCTGGCATTGCTGCGGCCCCGGCTGCCTTCTTGCTTATACATAGGGCACTACAAAACTACCAACAATATTCTTAGGATTCCGTACTATAGTCACAGTTTGCTATACAGCAATACCCTGATTCAATTATTAAGGCCCCTACATTAGTCGTTGTCCTCGAAGGCAGGAGAAGTTCAAGGGTCATGGGTGCGTACAAGACAAAACGAAGGCGAAGGTCGATAGATGAGGCGAGTGCACTTAGAGGGGCTTGTTAAGTAGGTTACAAGTAGAGATATAGGTACCCTAAATGGAGCTACACCAACTGTAACCCTACTTATAAGCGACTTACTAAGTCCCATGGAAGAAGCGGAAAAGGCTTGTGCAGCAGGAGGGCCTGGCATCTATGGAGAGTGTTGCCCAGCACCCAGGATCCAAGCAGGCGAGCAGCGGGCACGCCGCCCCGGGGCAGGGCTACACACGCCCAACACGGCTGAGTGGCGAACCGAAGCGAGCCCACACTGTATGCTTCAGACCGTCTAAACCCGGGCTAGTTGGTAAGAGTCTTCCCTCTGCCGCACATACCGATGATCGTCCACGTAGCATCATATAGCCTGCAAGCTACGGTGTTACAGGGAGCAGAGGATGTGGTTCTGGAATCTTGTCGTCGTGGCTTGTCCCAGCCTAGTTGTAGTAGCTACTGTAGGAGCTTAAATAAATAGAACACGGCTTAGGGGGTATACTACATTATAATGATAATAAGGAACCCCTCAGCCCTGTTCTAATTATTAAGGCCCCTACTATAGGACCCTATTATAGATTCCTTATATTTTAGAACCCTTTTAAGGGTCCCTTTAAAGGGACCCCTATTCTAATTATTAAGGCCCCAACATTAGCTTGGCCAACCAAGCAACTACACCGCGAAGCTAAGAAGTCTGAACCCTCCAAGCACCTGCATCTCCCACCGAGCTTTGACAAGTCCCGGAGCTGCTAATATAGGGGCCTTAAGTATTATGTAGAATAGGGTTTTCGGGCCCATTATACTAGAATTAGAATCAGGAACCCCCAAAACAATAGAGGTAATTATTGAGGTCCTTATATTATATTTGTTGGCCCAGAAGAAGCTATCAGTTGAGGCCTTCTAGCATAGACCCCAAGAGCTCAACTGTCAATTAGCTCAGCTACTAAGACATGTTATGCCAGTGCCCAACCCGAAACCCTAAACCCTAAACCAACACTTAATCCCATTTCTCCGCAGCCCTGGCTCCTAAGCTCTCCACTAGCTCAACCCAAGTTTCAACAAATGCTTGAAGGTTTTTGGGTAAATGTTAAATCGTAAAGGGATGAGTTACAAGCAGTTGAGCTTTCAAGTTAAGGTTTAGGGTTTAAGGTTTAAGGGTTGTGGGGCTGCAGGCATACGGTTCAGGGCTCAGTGCATAGGGTCTTGTTGAGTTTCGTATTCAGGCTCAGAGATGTGCAGGGTGTAGGGCTCCTTGTGCGGAGCGGGTGTCAGCTGCATGGGTAAATTCCTATGCTGGTTTATTTATGTGTGGGCTCGAGTTCACTCATCCCGCACTTTTTTGTTCGTTGTCCTATTACAATGAATGCTTCCAAGCCGCGATCAGACTGAGCAAGCTTTCATCGATTAACTTGAACCTCTGAAGAACCTGCCACGACACGAGATTGGGTGCTTCAGTCATACTTGCAGCTGCATGGCATAGCGAACATCCAGCTTCCGATTGTTTCGATAGAAACTCTTACCCTGAACCCCAAGCCCTAAACCCTAAACTCTTACCCTAAACCCGCCAAGCCCGAAACTTGAAACTCCAACGCCGACTCTGCACCCCTAAACCCTAAACCCAAACCCTGGAGTCTCAGGTAGGCTCACGCACATGGGTGATGCCTGCATTTCGTCCTCCACGGCCTCCAACCGTGCAGCTCTGCCCCAAGGCGCGCCGTATTTCTGAGATTTCCGTGCTTGAAGTAAGTTTGCTTTATAGTGTACCCCAAACCCTATTCTACATAATGTTTCAGGCCCCTAGATTATGTAGTAGGCTTGTCTAAGCTGCAAATCTTCAACTCGTCAGGATTACATATGGTAGTTTTCGAAAATAGGGGATCCTAATATTTAGTACCCTACATAGTAGGACCCTTTCTTCCAGGACCCAAAAATAAGGTACCCCCCCAATTTTCGGACACTTTCATAAGGTGAAGGCAGACCCATGGGGGTTCGAGGGCTTTCATGTTTTTCTTACGGTGTAAGGGGTTGTGGCTTTCACTTCTCGGGAAGATCGAATCGAAGCAGTAGCTGCAAAGGCGAGGTTCGGCAGTGTTACAATGTCCGCTTAGATTCGTCAGATTGTTCCTTGATACTGCTGCGGCGATAAACACCGAGTTTCTAATCTTGCAGTCAGAATGTGACAGGTCGACTATTCAATCAGCAGCAACAATAGCAATACATGTGTGTATATACATATGTATATACACAGCGATGTGAGCCTAAGACTAGCCACTGTAACTATGATTACTGGTCGTGAACAAGAAACTAGCCCTAAACCCTAAATCCTAAACCCTGAAGCCTAAACCCTGAACCCTAAACCCTGCACCCCCTAAACCATACACCCTAAACCGACTAGCCTCATCACGAGAGAACCGGTGCCGAAGAGCCTGTCTTGAGCAGACCACTTGGAGGTTCACGGGTAGCAAGGTTTCCTTTAAGGGTCCCTTTAAAGCGAGCCATAGGGTCCCCCTTTAAAGGGCTCTGTAGGGGTTCTAGAAGGGTATACATAGGGTTCAGGGCCTACTTGGGGGTTCATGGGTAGTTACAAGTGGGGTTATACCATTGTAGGGTTCCTTTAAGGGTCCTATAGGGTTGAGGGTGCCGGACTGTGGTCTAGGGTTTAGGGGTAGTTACAAGTGAGGCCATATGTCGGGTACCGACAGTTAAAACTCATATTAAATGATTTACATAGTAAGCCCCAAAAAGTTGGAAACCGGGTTAAGGCCGAATAGTGCTGGGATTCTCTATACATGACTCTTAAGGATCGAGGCTATGGGGTTCCCAACTTTTTGGCCTCTACTGTAAATCCATTCTTTAGCTACCCATGAACTTCCGAGCAGGACACTGCGATATCCCTTCGGCTGTGTGCTGAAATTCTGGGCGAAGATCACAGTGCCAAGCTCAGACCTCGGGCGCGTTGGGTCCCAACGTATTATAACCCTAAGGCCCTAAGGGTCCCTGTACCCGAATAGTATATACATTGGGCTTAAAGTAGTCTCTACATATAGGTAGTTTGAGGCCAAAGTATATACTATTTGGGTACATGGACTCTTTGGGTAACCGCAAACCCCACAACCCTAAAGCACACGCTGCTTCGGGAACAGCTTTCAAATGCGAGACCCAGTACAGAAACATATTTTACCTATAGTCTCCATTGTAATTCTTTTTTTGGTTTAACCAATTTTATATTCAGGATCTCAAAAAGGTAACCCCAAATGGAACTACAATGGAGACTATAGGTACAGACTCTGCCATGATGTGGTAAGGGTTCTTTTATGGCTTCCTTTAAGGGGCTCTTTAACGGTTCCTTTAGGAGTTCCTTTAAGGGTTCTTTTAAAGGTTCATACTACCTTGCTGTTGTCTTCAGAACTATCGCTGCATTCTGGTCTTGGCATTCTAAACGGACTCCGTGTCTACACTTATCGTACTAACTAGCCCAAAGTAGGTGCTATCTTGAGGCTTTCGACTCCAAAGTAGGCAATATTCGTATACCCGGAGTCTTGCCGTTGCTAGGAGGTTCATGGGTAGTATAAATAGGGTAACTGTATATATATAACCCATATTAGGGGACATATAACCCCACTTGTAACTACCCATGAGCCTCCAAGTACTTGGAGGGTCGGGTGACTTAGTAAGTAGGTCGTAAGTAGACTTATAGGTACCCTAAAAGGGACCCTAATTGGGGTTATGGTAAGTCCCGAAAATAACCAGTTACTAAGTCTCCCGAGCCCCCAAGTACTCGAGCTCAGCACCAGGACACGCCAGCTTTGTGCAGTTCCAGGCCCGCTAGACGTACTGGTTTATGGTTTAGGGACTACCATAACGGTTTTTTTGTTGGATCCCTTAGCCCTTAACGGCCCTAAGCCCTCACCCTGGGCATCAAAACAGCCCAAAAGCCTTATATAGTACGGTCTTTGGGCCCAAAAGCCTCAATATATGAGTCCTTAGATGCCTAGGGTCAGTGTCGTACATATAATGGACCTTACTAAGTTTCAGGCCCGGGTCCGGTGCATCGAGGCACAAAGATACAAGCCCCTAAACCACCTAAGCTCCTATGCAGGGTTCGAAGTTTGATACTTTAGATTTTGTTAGGCAGAGTGTGTGGGGCTTTGGGTTTCGGCTTCAGGGTAGGGTCTTACCCGACAGCGCTGTCTAAATGATTACTACAATAGGTTTACAAGGGTTCTATACTGTTTACGGGTTCTGCATGTCGCTTGTAGCCCCTCAGTCTGAGGCTGTTGTCTTGCCTTTTCGGGAATTCTGGTTGAGGTTGAATTCCTGAGCCTTAAAATCTAAGCCCGAAACTCTGAACTCTGACTGGCTGTATGGCTTTGGATGTCAGCAGGGCTTGCAGTTGAGGCGTTAAGCTTCAACTATGTTCAACTAGACACCCACACTACCACTTAACCAGAACTGCTTAAAGACCATAGGACCCTGTTAAGGATACCTGCCTTTTGCGTTGTTTTGGCTTTCGGATGGCTTTGGGTCGTGGCCTCATCCGGTTGACAATTGCATGTTCAACTTGTCCGTTTTCTTGGCGGGGGCCTGGAACAGTGTTCTGACATGGAGTGTGTGGACTTCTATCAACAGAGGGATTTAGAGAAAGAACATCTCACTCTAATAACTCTTTTATGTCTGGAACGAACAAAGAAGGGGCTGACTACATCCCTGATCAACGCGGCTCCTGTGCTAGGGACGGAAGGGTGGCATGCCTGCGGCCGGGTTCTCATCATTTCAGACTACGAGCCCCCAGTCCAATATGCGGAACCATCATGGTGGTCAGAGTTGTCATCGCACTATAAGTATAAGTATAACCCAGATTGAGGGACTTATAACCCCGCCTACCCCACGTATTATCACTAATGGACCTCCAAATAGCCCTAAACCAGCCTGGTCACAGACATCGGAGGTGTCCGGCGCCGGGGAGGCAAAGGATCTGAGGGTTCAGGTGGTTGATACAGAAGCTTGAATAATTAAAACATACTACGTACTTCTTGTCTTCCTTAGGGATATTATTACGAAGATACTGTACCCCCGAAACCTTGCTGTAATTACCAAGGCCCTTAAACTAAGCATTGTTTGTGTTTACTTGGAGCTCTTTGTTATTGTTCCAGTATAGTATACCTCAAAAACCCTACTAGGGCCTCAGACCTGCGTTTTTAGCCTTGGGAGTTCGGGCTATGGGACACGAATGAGTAACTAGGGTCTGCAGGGTGTTAGGGCTTGTGTTCAGGGGTTAGTTACTTGGAGTTTATGGTTCCCCATGCCGACGCCAGGACAAGACTGTGGGGTCAGCTCGGCATCAGTGACTACTGTATTGTCCTTCAGTATTTGTAAAGTTGCAATGTCGGGGCCTAAATAACTACCAATACGTACTGTCGTGTCGCTGCCCTCTGCCTTGGGAGCACGAAGAGGAGGAGCCTCCTCCACCGGAGTACCTTCTTTTTTTTCCCTAGGTTCCAAGTCCCATGATCCTTTCAAGCCTAAGCCCCCACAGATCCCTTAACGCCTGTTGGAACCCTAAACCCTACACCCCTAAACCCTGAACCCCTAAACCCTAAACCCTAAACCGACCCGTGAAGGAACCCTGAGTTTGGAGCCCGAGGTTTTAAGCCCCAGGATTCTTCGGAGCAAGCCCTACGACCCCAAATGCCAAATCCTAAACCCTAAACTGCCCTAAGCTAGGATGCCCAGTCGTACCCTTATTCCCTTTTCGTAGTCCCAGGTTCCTTATAAAGTTACCCAATACCAAAACGGGAGCCCTTTCTATTCCTAGGTTACTTGGCATCCTAGTAAACCCTAAACCCTAAACGCAACCCCGAGTGTGGGTGTGACTGTAGTAAACTTCGTACCAAGCAACAGGCCCCAACAACCTGGCTCATCCTGGTAAGGAATTCCAGCTGTTCTGCAGTCGGAAAAGAGCCCTCAAAAAAAAACAACAACCTCGAAACTCTTCAACCCCAAGCCCCAGGATCCTTGCAACAAGCCCCAAACAGTGGGAACATGAAGACTCTAAACCCAGATGGGTGGTTGTCAAAATTATGGTCCTTTTTTGGGGGTACCTTAAATAATAGGTGCCGTATTATGATAAATGACCCAAAAAGGGACCCTAATATTCACAGCCACCCATATAAACCCTTAAACCTTAAACTCCACAATCCCACTCCCTTCAGTACACCCCCAAAACAGTGGGAACTGGAAGAGGCGGCAGCCGCGTCCCAGGAACTTCCTTTGCCGGGAGTCCCAATGCAAGCTCAGTGTTGGGAGTCCTCCTGGGGTTTTGGGTTTAGAGCTTAGGGCAGGAGGTTCAGGGATCATGGCTTGGGTTTAGGCTACAGGGCTGGGTTTAGGATTTAGGGCAGGGGGTACGAGGATTAGGGATAAAGTAGAGCCGGGAACCGGGTTCCTTGTCAAGGATGGGGTTTGGGGATGAAGCTTTAAACCCTAAACCCTAAACCCCTGTTGAGGGGTTAAGAGTTAGAATCGGTTTCCTTGTCAGGGATGGGGTCTTGGGATGTCGAAAGGTTCTTGACAAGCAATCAGTAAGGGTTCCTGTAGCCGGTCTTCATGGGTTTAGTCGGCAGATATGAGGTTAGAGGAATATAGCTTAAATCGTGATATGAACCCCTTGTAATTTAAGGTATTCCTTAATCAAGGGGGTTTGGGCTCTCTGGGTGAAGGTGTGAGGACTACCGTTTTGGGTTTCAGGTCTCTTGGTTTAAGGCTTAGGGCTCACGGTTGAGTGTTTGAAGGGTTGGTGCAGGGATTCAGGAATTTACTGAATTGTGTGCATTTGGGGTATAATGAGAGGGTAATTTGGGGGGTCTAGGTATACCACAAGACCTCAGGTTCAAGGATTTGGGATTTAGGGTTTAGGGTTCACGGGTTTAGGATTTTAGGGCCGTTTGGGGTTCCGACGCTCTGAACGATAAGCGAACCACCCAACTTGGAGTGTCGGGAGACTTAGTAAGTAGGTAGTAGGTAGACTTACAAGTACCCTAAAAGGGACCCTAATTGTGGATATTACACTGAACAGTCCCTAAGATAACCCCGGACCCTCCAAGCAACCGAAGCCCCAAACTGGTCAAACCCTGAATCCCCCGAAAGCCAGTAATTCCCAGAGCCACAAACCTGAACCCAAAAGAAGGTTACTATCAGGGATCTTTAAGGGTACTAAAATATGGGGGCCTGCAGCCTCAATAATCAGGGTTTTTGGCCCATTATACTATACTTTTAAAAAGCTCTATGATTTACGATTTAAAGGTTATTCCAGGCTATTACGTTTTAGAGCTTGCGCTCCAAGGATGTCAGGGACATTGTCTGAAGAATCCTGAACCATGAAACCTCAAAACCTCCTAGACCCAAAAGCCTCAATCTTAAACCCTAACCCCTAAACCCTACTTGGAGGGTCGAGGGACTTAGTAAGTAGGTAGTAAGCAGACAAAAAAGTACCCGAAAAGGGACCCTAATTGGGGTTGTGGTACTTATAAGTCCCTAAAATAACCAGTTGCTAAGTCCCCCGACCTCCCTTAAAGGAACCCCTAAAGGAGCCCTTTATAGAAAGCCCTATAGATCCCTTAGAGGAACCCTTTACCCTAACCCCTAAACCCTAAACCCCTAAACCTCTCATTTCAGGGCTCCGGGGCTCCGGTCGCCCCAGGCTCGTACTCGACTTTCCCGAGGGTGCTGCGAGCAGCGAGCACGTCCATCTACTGGATGTCGAGGCCAGTCCTGGTGTTTCCTAGCTATACCCAGGGTGTAGGGTCGGGTTCAGGGTTTAGGGCGGAGGGCTACTTTTGTTTAAGTTTCATTCTATGCGAACTTGTCCGTCGGATGGGTGAATTATCCACCCATGAACCTTCAAGGATGGTGTTTTGGCTTCGGATTGGGATAAGCTGCTGTTCGGTGAAGGGCTGCAGGCCTTGGGGTTGATGGTCTTGGATTCTTGGATGTGCCATCGTGTAAACTAGTGGGTGATGTGGTGCTTGGCTGTCTTATTGCAGCATGCCCGCAATTTGAACGACATGACTGCACAGTGGTGTTTAGTGATGTTCAGCGCATGTTCGAACGAGACCTCGGCTTTCTGACGATTCGGGAGCAGAATAAGAGGCTGCAGTGAGACATCAGCATACTAAATCCCCATCGGCATAGCTTCTAAAGCCTAAACCATTCAAGTCCAAAAGCCTGAAAATAAGCTTGCTTGAAACACGTCTTCTGACGACCAAGGAGTTGGCCAGCAACGTCGCCTTGCACCAGAAGGCAGCAGAATTTAGTCTGGTTACGGTGCAAGGCCAAACCCTAAACCTAACTCCGAATCTGAAATCTTATGCCCTAAACCCTACAACCTAAACCCTAAACGAAGACTCTGCAGACGGAAAAGGGCCCTTAACACAAACAAAAACTAAACCATCCAAATCCCTTAACTGACTAAGAAGTAAGAACCCCCGGAGCAGCTCCGAACTTTTCCGAGCCTCACACCCAGAGACTCCAATACCCCTTTAAGGGACATCCTTCAAGGATCTGCAAGGGATCCATGGGTTGAATGGGTGGGGGGACTTAGAAAGTAGGTAGTAAGTAGACTTATACGTACCCTAAAAGGGTACCTAACCGGGGTTATGGCACTTATAAGTCCCTAAAATAACTAGGTACTAAGTCCCCCGACCCTCCAAGTAGGGTTTAGGGTACCCAGAGACTCCAATACCCCTTAGTGAAGGAATATACCGTAAACTGATTGGAAAATGTATTCCTTGCTTAAGGGGTTTTGGAGTTTGTGGGCAGTTTAGGTTTGAGGGTCTAAGGATTAAGTGCTTACGATTTAGGAGTTGAGGGTCGCAGGGTTTACGGTTTTGGAGTTTAGGGTTCCAGGGTTTACGCTTGAGGAGTTTAGGCTTTCAGGGTTTACGGTTTAGGAGTCTAGGTTTTCAGGATTTAGGAGTTCAGGTTGTTCCAGGGTTTAGGGTTTGAGGGTTTAGGGTTTTGGGTTTTATTAGAGCAATCCTGGTCATGTTCCGGACAGGTTGTCTTTCAAGTGCGCGTCGGCGATATGGCGACGAAGTCAGCTACAAGTCCGAGCAATGGCAGAGGGTCCTTTCGTTATTCTGCGCTCAATAAGTTGCCCGTAATCCTCAAACCCCAGAACAATTTTGCACATCATGACAGTACATCTGGTAGTAAAATAGCAGCATAGTAGTCGCCGCCGTTGTATCAGCTGGAACTACCCAAGATCTGGATGTCCGGATTAAGCAATACAAGTTGAACCTCAAACCACTGAGTCCTGAGTCTGAGCCCGTAATCCATTACACTCGGGTACTGCCCCCACTCAGTAACAGTTGGATAATATTCATAATATAGACAGAGATATAGGGACCTTAATAGTAGCCCCATTATAGACTGCTACTGTATAAGGGCCGTACCCAATATTACACTACAATGTCCCCAAACCCAAGAGACTTTGAAGCTCTGGCCGGGACCCTCCCTCAACCCTACACCCAAAACCTTCGAAGAACGGTTGATGATATAAAGCCTGCATTACCCATAATAAGGAATATACCATACTTCCCATAGTTTAGGGTCTTCAGGTAATGGAGGGTTTATATCATCAACAGAAGTAGACGATCTAGCCAGGCCTTGGGACCCTTTTCGGAGCCCAACAGGGTTTTGGGGCCCATTACCCCAAAACAGTCAAGGTAATCATTAAGGTCCCTATTTTAACCTTTTACAAACAAGTCCTTAAGAAGCCCAAACATGCACCTAAATTATGCAATTGCTTGACAGCGCTTGTACCATATAGAACCCCGCCGCCCGCCCGATGCCCTTCTAGGTAGTGTGCTTGTAGGACCCTTCGAAAGACTGCTTTTAATCCTTTGAAATCCTTAAACCAAATGTCTGCTTCTCAAAGCCCTAAAACCCTCAAACTCCTTCAGAAACCCCAAGCCCTCCATCCTGGCCCCATCAGAAAAAGATCCTAAGTCCCTTCAAAAGCCCTCTTCAACCATGTTTAGAAGCCGAACAAGCAGCATTTAGAAACCCTTATACTTGGAGGTTCATGGGTGGTTACTAGTGGTTATCAGTAGGGTAGCCATAATCAGTTATCATAACCCAGCTTGGGGGACACCCTTAAAAACTACCTATGAAACTCCAAGTAGATGAAACAAAGCATAGTAAGGATGGTCTTTTGGCACAAATGGTTCCATACGGGTCATGTATATTCATAGGGATCCTTAGGGGTGTAGGGGGGAGGGGTGTAGGGGACTATATTTCCTTAAATAGGCCTTATTAGTCCTTATTATGGGCCTTAAGGCCCCCTACCCCCCCTCCCCCTACACCCCTAAGGATCCCTATGATATATGAGCCCTTCGAAGCCCTTATAGACCCAAGACCCTGAAACCCTAAATCTCCAAAACCCTGAACTCTGAAACCCCAAACCCTAACACCCTAAAACCATGAATCTCTAAAACCCATAATCCCTAAAAGCCTAAACCCCTTAAACCCTAAATCTAAACCCTAAAGCCTGAAAAAGATCCCTCACTTAGGCTTGGTCTGCTCCTTCCGCGCCCCTGGCTCTCTGCTTGACCTCACCGCGGCCAGCCTGCCAGGAGAGATGCAGCAACTCGGGGAGTTGGTGCTCTCAGGCTTTCAGGGTTTGTAAGTTTATAGGGCCTTGAGGGTCTAAAGGGCTTTTCGGGATTTGGGTTTAGGATCTTTAGGAATTAGGGTTTAGGGGAGTTGGTGTTCTCAGGCTTCTCGGGTTTATAAATCTATAGGGCATTCAGGGTTTATAGGGCTTTCAGGGATTTAGGGTTTACGTTTTTTTGTTGGTTTAGGGTTTTAGGGCTTGGGGTTCAGGATTTGTGGAGTGTAGGGTGTTTGGCGTTTAGGGTTTATAGGGCTTCTGGAAACCCACTCAGGCTCCAAGAATATAACTAGTGCCTGCTTTGGCGTCTAAAGGGTTTAGGGTTTGAGTGTTTAGGGTTTAGGGTCTCTAAAGTCTACAAATATTTTTTGTGCGTTTCGGGGTCTGGGGCTTTTGCAATAATTAACATCCGTTGCGTTTTAGTTCAAAGGATTCTATGTATGTGTGTGTAGGGGCGTACAATGCGGCCCGTAACCGGGGTTCCACAGAAGGACGCGGCTGTTTTAGAGGTTCCGGGCCTTTTGTAAGTGTGCTCTCTAGAGGCCAGGCCCTACCCCCCCAGGTCCTTTTGTACTCCTTGACAGCCCAACCTGCCCTAATTTACTTACAGCCACTATAGCCCCAACTCCCGAAGAAGCCATGCAGAAGCCGTAAGCTGTAAACCCCCTCCTGAAACCCTAAAGTTCCTAAAGCCCGGGAGGCACTAGGAACCAGGGTTAAAAGGTTTGGTGTGTGTGTGTGTGTGTTTGTGTCTGTCTGTGTCTGTGTCTGTGTCTGTGTGTGGGGGGGGGTGGGGGGTTCTTGGATATTCGAGTTCAAGCTTTGCGGTCTTGGGGTGTCTGTTTAACTTAGTAGCGTTTCGGCTTGTGTAGGATATCATGGGTTGTCATTGCTCAACCCTACGCCCCACAGAATCTTCAACCTTGAAAAGTCTACACTGTCTACACGCCGCCCCCTCGGAACTCTATTGAGCTTTGGAGTACCATACTTGATTTCTTTTTTCTTGAAGGAACCCTTATGAAATGAAAGCTTATACTTTTTCTCCATGGTTACTTAAAAGCCCAGTCTACATCCACCGACCGTAAACCCGAAAGCCCTCCAACCCGGTGAGGACATCTCAGTGAAGCAGCTGGACCGACACTCTATCGAGGCCCCTAAACCCCTAAACCCTTAACCGCCTAAACCCTAAATCCCTAAACCCCTAAACCCTAAATCCCTAAACCCTAAATCCCTAAGCCCTAAATCCCTGAGCCCTAAACCGTGTCTTGACTCCCGAACTTCTGGGCCTAGGCGATGGGTTCCGGGCTAATGCAGCATAGTATCTTAAATAATTGTCAATATGGTTTCGCTAATTAGGGGCAGTTACAGTATGTTCTACTATAGATATAAGATAGCCATATATAGCCAAAAATCTCACTCTAATGATGATGGCCCGCAGACTGCAGGTGGAGGAGTGGGGTTCCCTTCAGTTGCCATGTAATGGGTCCTTATTTCAGGATACGCACATGATTTAGGGTTTAGGGGTTTATGATTCGAGGGTTTATAAGGGTTTAGTAGGATTTTGGGTTTGGGGTTTAGGGTGTGGGGTTTAGGGTTAGGGGCTTAATTTGGATTTTGGGGTTTGAGGGTCGGCCGCCCACCATTGGGGACCGTGCTGGGTGCCGGTCATCCCATCTGAGTTTTCGGGTCGAGGCCGAGTCACTTATGTCCCTGAAGTGTTTGTAGGGTTTACAGTAGACCCCATAACGTTGGAAACCGAACAAAGGCCAAATGGTGCTGGGATTCCCAAAACATTACCCATAGGATTGAGGCTATTGGGTTTCCAACCTTTAGGCTTCTACTGTAGGGCCGACGCTGAGATACAGTCGGCATGTCGTGCAGGGACTTTCCGTACTTCGGTAGACAAGCTGCACCAGATTGACTACCGGCAGCCCTTCCCTGGGAACAAAGCATGGAGGGGTCTAAAGAGATATCCGAGAATCTGTCAAACCCCGGCCCCAATCCGTATAATCCCATACCTTGAGGGGTGTTATCAGTTCTTCGGGTGAGCGCCAGCGACGGCGGGCAGACGGAGAAGAGTCAAACGCAAAGAACTTAACCCCCAAGCCATAACCGGTTGCCACAGGTGAGCTGGCCAAGATTCATAGCTGCCGAAGGACACGGCATTCAGCACTCCAGGTTTTCCGGGGTCAGGCAGGGCTTCAGGGATTCAGAGCTTTCGGATTTTAGGGCTCAGGGCTGGATGATTTGCGGGCGCTACACCCCAAACCCGAAATCCTGGCGAAACTCCCTCAGTTATCCCCAATCTGTCAACCCCGGGCAACTTGTGCAAAAGGCTCAACAATCTACACATGCTCACCTCCACAATCTACATGTTGACGGTCACACATCTCCTGAAATGCGAGCTCCATAAAGCCCTGAGTCGGCAAACTTCACATCCGGAACCTTTCGAAGCCATGAACCCCAAACTGCGGCAAAACAGTTTAGCAGAAGGCTAAGATTCCTCTGCAAGTCAGAAAAAGCAGTCTCATGATATGCCATCTCACTGCGGAGATGTAGGGTTCTCTGACTCTCCAGGACTTGCTGAGGTGGACTACTACGCCGCAACCTGGGCAGTACAGGGTTCAGGGTTCATCAGAGATACTGTTGATGATATAAATCCTGCATCACCTTAAGGACCCTAAACTATGCGAATTCTGGTGTATTATGGGTAATGCAGGATTCATATCACCAACCGTTGTTTGCGAAATCCTGGGCTTCGAGGCTAAGTCTTACATTCTGGCCTCTCTGCCTTGAACCTATGATCTCAGGGGTACTTAGAAATAATTTTTAATTTTTGGTTATTATAATCCCTAAGCAACAGCTAACATTATATTTTTTGCTAGGGTTCTAAGTTCAGTATAGTGATAGGGACCCCTAAAAGGGTAGGGGGACTGGGGGTAGGGGGCCTTACCTGCTTAAACAGGCCTTATTAAGTCCTTATTAACTTATTGTAGGTATTACGGCCCCAAGGGTCCTTATGAACCTATGTTCAGCGTATGTGACAAGGAGCGTCAACAAATGTAAAACTTTATCGGTCGGTGCATAGGGAGGAGGCCTTTTCAATTTTCGTTTACACTTGTGGTCGCTTTCTCAATAAGAGCGTTTACGGCTGACTTGCCGGATGTTGTAAGTTTATGCCGGCAATGTAGACTGTTTTCTCTGGTTCTACAGGTTTGCACAGTGCTTCACTTATAACCCTATTCCCCTAACCCCAAGACCCCTAAACTCCTAAACCCCAAAACCCCAAACCGCTAAACCCCAAACCCTAAACCCCTAAGCCCTTAAAGCCCTAAACCCTCAAACCCTAAACCCCTAAACCCCCAGACCCCTGAAAGCCTAAACCCCCAAACCTTAAACCTCGGTTTGGTGGACCTCCCGGGTGCACCAGGACAGGCTGCTAGTGTGATCGGTGTGAAGGGTTTATCGTGAAATTTGCCAGTTGCGGCGCTTGCTTCAAAGGGGCCCGGAAGCATGTCCCCGGGCGCGAGCTGGAACCCTGCGGGATCCGGTATGTCCGGAAACCTTGGCTTATCAACCTGCAGGACTACCTGCAGAGCATCTCTCACGGCGTTGCTCTTGATCTTCAAGATGCTGTTGCTCAAGTGCAGAAAGATGCCGAGCCCCGGCCTGTTCGGAAAACACCGTGTGTGATAGCAAACATGTGCTGTGAACCGGCAGAGTAGGACTTGGGATCTTTTAAATCCGTAATGCAGCGGCCCAAGGAACAGCTCAGGAAGGACAAGTACACAGAGTGCAAAGACAAACCTGCCAAGGTTCGAGCTTCTACTACGCAGGAGATGCAAAAGCAACGGGCACAACCCGCACCCCTCCCAGCCCGTGAGCTGGCGAGTTCTTCGCGCCCCGAATTTTCCCAAGACCTGAAAGAACAATAATGCGCACCCCTAAACCCCTAAACCCTAGACCAAAACCCCGAAACCCTAAACCCTTAAACCCTAAAGGCTTCGGTGCCTTTGGCCGAAGCAGGAGTTCCAGTTCCAGTTGAGCCTAAACCGACGCCGTGTGCGAGTTGGTGAGTTGGGGATTAGGCCTTCGTTTGGGGTTTAGGATTTACTTTCGGGTTTAGGGTCTGGAGTTTAGGACATAGTTTAGGGTTTAGGGCTTAGGATTCAGTTTAGGGCTTGGGGTCCAGGGTTTAAGTTGAGGATTCAAATTTGGGCTTTAGGGTCTTGGGTTTAGGATTTATTTCAGGGTTTCGGGTTAAGGACCTTGGCGTGGTTCTCATTCTGTGGTTTTGTTCGAACCTGCCGGCTTGTCTTAGCTAGACATCTCAACGGCCGCCCTTTGCCACAACAACATATTCGGATGTGCACGACCATCAGATGTGTTAGCCAGTGCTGGCACGCCGAATCTTGCAAGATAGATGTCTGGAGCATTCGCACTGGAAGTTCAGGTCAAGGCGGTGTGCTGCCCGATGCCTGAGGACGGGCCGTTAAGGGTTCCTCTACGGGGTCTACCAAGGTTTCAGTCTTTAGGTCTCTAGTGCTGTAGACACATTGTAAGAGTTTTTGTTCATGCAGTACAGGGATGTTGCTCATGGCCTCTTTGAGAAGGGTTTCTTTGCAACAGCCGATGCGCTGGCTTGTTGGTCCGCCATGGCATGACTGGTAGCATGCCATGCTAAGAAGTCATAAGGCCGTACAAACCGCGTAAAAGATTGTAGCACATCTTGTGAAGTCCGTGTTGCCGTAAACGTTTAATTACCCCTAATTACGCACCGAGCCTTTTACTTCAGCCTGGAATGAAACCGGTCGTTGCTAAGGGTTCCCCCAAAAGTGCTTAGTGTAGCCGTGTAGCCCTTAAGGACGACAGGGTTAGTTCTGTAGTTGAGGGCCCCAGCCCGCCAAAGCAATGACCCGCCCAGACTGTATAAATGCGTTCGAGTCTACTTGGCCGCTCTTGAACATAATTGTTCTTTTGAGTTTAGTATGTTCTCACGACGGCAAAAAAAGACCCTAGAGATGAACTTACACCCTCAAATCCTAAACCCCAAACCCCCAAACCCTACACCCCTTAATAAGCGTCAGCCCGAAACCCGTAAAACCTAACTCAAAGGATCCTATGTACTGTTCTGGGGGATACTTCCCCAAGTCATCGTAGTAGTTCTTAATATGGAAACCCTACATTCTACTATATCGGAACATAGGCCCCTTTTTCAAAACACCCAAAACCCCGAAAGCCTCAACCGCGACAGGGCCTCCAAGAAGAGCTTGGGCTCAGGTTTTTGGCAGGCTTTTCCTGCAATGCTCGGGGTTTTGGGTTCATAGGCTGTCTAAGGCTTATAGGGTTTAAGGTTTTTTAGGCTTTATGAGCCTTATGGGGTTTAGGGTCTTTAGGTTTTGGGCCGCAGCGTTCAGTTTTTAGTGCAGCGCAGGTCCTGCGTAGGGTTTAGGGCTTGAGGCATGTGCGAATTTGGGTTTCATGATGGTGGGCTCAGGGCTTTGGGTTTGGGGATGTAGGGGTTTACGAACAAGGAGTTTTGGGCCTGAATTTTAGAACCCACCGCCGAAGGACACAATGCAGCGATACCTCCCGCATGCTGCGGCGGCAGAGAGCAGTGAGAATGGAGGCAACCGCGAACACCAAATCCCAGACTATTTCACCCCGAATGAAGAACAAGTGATTTGTGAAACGGCTTCGGTTTCCCGAAGACAACCGGTGCTAAACCCTACCCCCCGAGCCCTCTGCGTGACATGGGCCACTTCTTGCCCCGGTGTCGAAGTTCACCCGTAAATCCGGCACTTCCATGTTCCGCTCTTGCCTATGCTTACTTAGCCTATTGGAGAACTTTAAACTTTTCGGCTTTACATATTTGGTCTAGCTTATACAGTTTGAACTTTGTTTGGGCCTGGTTATTGGAGAAGAGAGGATGTAAACAACCCAGAGAGCGAAAGACCTCTAAATTCAGCAATATCACGGCAAGTTGGATTTAGGGTCATTTTAAGGTTTGTGTACTAATGGGGTCCATTCTGACCTCCAGCACCCTAAGACCCTTAAGCCTCGAACCTTCAATCCTCAGAACCAAATAAACCCTAAACCTTCTTTGGGTTGGAAGTCCTTCACAACCCCGAGAGGAACTGGAGTTCACGGGTCCTAACTCCGAACAGCACAACGCACCGGTTTTGGGTGTACGGTTTCAAGATTCAGGTTTAGGGTTTCAGGATTTATAGGATTGCTTTTCAGGAGGGCTTTAGGAAATGGGACTTACTGGGTTGTCCTTTGGGATATTATAAAGTTTCCCCTACTATTCGGTAGAGAACCAAAATAGCAAGTACTTTTCAATGGGCTTAAAGGACAACTCAGCTTCGGGTTTGAGGGACTTTGGGTTTGAGTGTACCTTAACGTACGAAAACCTACAAAAAAGTAGGGTCCCTATAAATTCCGTATTAGGGTTTATAAAAAAACCTACAAAAAGGTAGGGTTTGGTAAGTTAAGGTAGGGTGTAGCCTAAAGACACGGATGCGAGAGTCCAGGCTAGTACAAACCCTCCCCAAAAACACATGACAATCCTAACCCGACGACATTGAAGCCGCTTAAATGTCTAAACCGCTAAACCGCTTAATTAGGGAATATCCGTTAAATAGCGTATCGAAACGCCAATATTTTTTGATGTATATTTATTCCTTACATAAGCGGTTTCGGAGTCTCTCGGAACTTCTAAAGCCTACACTCAGCAGCCATTGCAGGATGGTGCCGAGTGGTTCTGCGAAAACTTGTCCCAGAGCTGCCGCACGCCACCGCCTCGGAAGACTCCTTGCACCTCAGATTCCAAGGGTAAAAGGAGGGACCCTTAATAAGGACCCCTACGTATATACCCTTAATATAGCTATTATATACCCATTATATAGCCCATTATATGGTAGGGGTCCCCATTAAGGGTCCCTCACTTCCGCTTTGACAGATACGGGTTCCCTTAAGGGTTCCTTATGAGGCTTCCGTTTCTGCTTAGGGTTTCAGGGTTTCGGTTTAGGGTCGCTTAGGGGTCGAAGTTGCGGGGCCCAGTTGAAGGGAGACTCTGCAGACAGGTGAAGGGATTTCCTGTAGCCCCAAACCCTTCGAAGCCATGTCCAGGGTTATGAAACTGTTTAGGGTTTAGGGTGGAGGGTGGTTTAGGGTTTAGGGTAAACTTGCAGTACGTCTTAAACTGTGTCCCTCCTAAGTAAGCCCCGGCCCAGGTTATGACCTCTTTATGATCGACTATATGAGCGTAAACCGGTAGGTTTTGGATCCCCAGGTTGGATCTAGGATGCACGACTTACCTGCAGTCTCCATTGTAGTGCTTTTTCGGTTTCCTTATAGAGCCCTATGGGTATATAAATGGTTAAGGCAGAAGAGGTATACAATGGGGACTATAGTTAGTACCTGTGGGAGATTGTAGATCGAAAACGGGGTAGTGTGCCCAGTAGTACCCTTATTCCCGTTTTGTAGTCCTAGGTTCCTTATAAAGTTACCCAATACCAAAAAGGGAGCCCGTTTTATTCCTAGGTTACTGGGCATCCTAGACTGGCAGTATGTAGAATTTCAGTTATCGGAAAAAGTTGTTCGAAGAACACTGCAGACTCACGCCCAAAATGGTGCCCTAAACCTAAACTCCTAACACCCTAAAACCCCTAAACCCTTAAAGCCCTAAACCCCTCAAACCCCTAAAATCCCAAAACCCTTTAACCCCTTAAGCCCCTAAACCCCTACCCCCTTAAACCCCTTAAACCCTTAAAGTCCTACAACCCCTAAACCGCGCAGCTGAATCGAGAAGCTTGGAGGTCCTTGCACCACGCACCCTACATAAACCCTGAACTTAAGGACCCAAAAAGCACATAAGCATAGGCATGTGATCGGGATATCCCTATCTTGTTGGGCTTCATTATGAGGCAGGTTATATGGAATATCCCTAACCTAATTTTTGCTTATGTGTTATTTTGGGGTCCCCATGAACGGTTTACGACACTTGCAGGGTCATATGTTTAAAAATACCATCCCCCAATAACTAAGGTACGTACAATTTAAGTACAGTTATAATCTAAAGGTTTTAGGTTGTAAGTACGATAACTTAATTGGAGTTGTGAGTGTTTATAAGTTATAAACAACTGACAACCCAGTTAAAGTATGTATAACCTTAGAAACACTAAGGTACTTCTAATCTGTTCATTATAACTGTAGTTACCCGATTTAGAGTTCTAGTTCTTGACTCCAACGATCCTTCAAGCGGAGCTCCCATGGTTGCCGAGATCATCACGGTCACCGGCGCTTATCCACATCTCAGCCGCTTCTGTTCGCAGGATCCGAGCTTCAGGTGTCGGTTTAGGGTTTATGGGGGTTAGAGGTTTCGTTGGGGGTTTGAGACCTAAGATATCTGCCATCTACGCTTTAGGGTTTGCGGCTAGCCCCAAAGGTCCAAGTACCTAATAACCATATACTCTCCAAAATCCTAACCTACATAACTACTATCCTAGAACCGAGTAATGTGGGTGTCGGTTTAATAGTGGGGTACCCCCCCCCCCGACCAAAAAACAAAATTCTATTTAAAGTGGAGCCGGACAGGGGTCAGTCTGAGTGGCAGGGAATTGGGAGGTGCCGGGGTTTGGGGGGTTGGCTTGGGTGCAGGGTCTGCGGTTCTGCGCGAATGCGCGGTCGGGGGTCGGGGGGGTCTGGGGATCACCAAATGCTGGAAACCAAACCCCGATCACTCCAAGACTACTACCAAGACTAAAAACCCTTCATTTTGAACACTTTTGCCTCCGTAACCTACACTCACACACTCCCACCCACAATCGACCACGTCTGAAGCTTTGTGCGGTACAATAATAGTACAGTAGTACAATAGTAGTACAGTAGAAATGATACAGTACTAATACAATAGTAGTACAATAATAGTGCAGTAGTACAATAATAATACAACAGTAGTACAGTGGTAGTACAATAGTAGTACAGTAGTAGTACAATAATAGTACAGTAGTACAATAGTAGCACAATAGTAGTACAGTAGTAAGTAGTACAGTAGTAGTACGATAATAGTACAGTAATACAATAGTAGTACAGTAGTAGTACAGTAGTAGTATAATAATAGTGCAGTAGTACAATAGTAACACAACAGTAGTACAGTGGTAGTACAATAATAGTACAGTAGTAGTACAATAACAGTACAGTAGTACAATAGTAGCACAATAGTAGTACAGTAGTAGTACACTGGTAGTGCAGTAGTACAATAGTAATACAACAGTAGTACAGTGGTAGTACAATAGTAGTACAGTAGTAATACGATAGTAGTACAGTAGTACAATAGTAGTACAGTAATAGTACAGTAGTAGTACAATAGTAGTACAATAGTAGTACAGTAATAGTACAGTAGTAGTACAACAGTAGTACAATAGTAATACAGTAATAGTGCAGAAATAATACCAATAAGCAAAGCATAAAGCCAGTGAGCACATTCCCCCAATAAGCAAAGCATAAAGCCAGCGCCTGAAACCCTAAACCCTAAACCCTGAACCCTAAACCCTAACAAACCCTAAACCCTAACGAACCCTAAACTCCTAAACCCTAACAAACCCTAAACCCTAAGCCCTAAACCCTTCCCAAAGGGGGGTCGGTCCAGATTGGACCCAAAATTGAATTTTTTATACAAGCTTTAGTACTGGAGAGGCCTCTTTTGAGCTAGGGTCCAATCCCCGATTCGGCGGTTCACCCTAGCAGCCCCCCCCAATAAACAAGGCATACAGTAGCAGTACAATAGTACAATAGTAGTACAGTAGTAGTACAGAGTCCCATTCCTGACGCCCCAATAAGCGAAACAATTCTGCAAGAGATTTTCGGGCTTCAGGGCCAGGGTTTTAGGGTTGGGTGGGGGTTTGGGTGGGGGTTTAGGTCGTGGCTGCCTTAAGATTGACCATCAGCAAATAGCACAGCCCAGCCACCAAAAAATCACCCCAGCCAAAAAAAAAACGCATTAGTTAGTACCCCAAAAATTTTACTCGGATTCGGAATTAGCCCCCGAGCCGACGCATTAAAGGAGCCTATATTCCTAAACCGACACCCACATTACCTAATTATTGGGTCCTTTGGACCCTTGTGGTAGGGCTTGGGGTTGGGATCTTGCACGTCCAGGGCACCTCTGTCAGAAGCCGACAAGCAGTAATTACCTGGAGTTTTGACGGAGCATAGGTTTTCGTTTGGGGTTTAGGTTCGTCTTTTCCAGAGGAGAAAGTTTGTCTTCGATCTTCATCTCTGATCGCAAACCAAGACAACCTTGTCATCAACACGCACACACACACAAGTTCGCTGTTGTCCAGTATTTCGTAGTTCTGCACAATCATGTCATTTCCTTGACCATGTATCTCGAATGCATAGCTAGATAGGTAGAAAGATAGACTGATGGATAATTAGTTAGGTACAATGATAGGAAGATAGAGCGATAGCGAAATAAATAGATAAATATAAGTAAACCAATAAATACATATATATATATATATATATGTGTCACATAAGGTAAGAAAGAAACATAGGTCGGCAGGTAGATAGATAGCCAAATAGATGCATGGATCTCTAGATAGATGGGTCGACAAGTAGGCAGGTAGAAAGATAGATATGTAGACAGATGGTTCGACAGATAGATAGAGAGACGGATAGGTAATGATAGCTAGATACGCAGAGAGGTGGCTATAGGCGGATTGAAAGTTAAAACCTATACCCAAAGCACAACGTCCGTACAAGGAACAGGCATCATGGGGCTGTCAGTTTCTGCCAGGTTCGCACCTTTCTGATCGTCCTTCGCAGTTACACGAGGTGGCAAACGTCCATCAGTTCGGGTTGTTTGTGCAGCTCTTGTTGCACATGGTAGGCTGTTACGCGCTATGTTGCCTTGCCATTTGCAGCTTTAGCTTGGGACAGAGTACCTGCAGGGTGCAGTGTACTCCTTGCACATGCATGAAGCCAGCATGAAGCGACCCCATCACAAGCACATGGTCAGTGTCATGCGCGGTTCTATGTGGTCTAGGTTAGTCGGTCGATGGGCGAGCTAGGAAGTCCACAATGCCCAGCCTAGCTCAAATCGCAGAGAAGCCTAGCGCCCTGCATCGTTTGATTCAAGCCGAAGCATGGTACAGTGTTGCTGTTGACATATAGACCATCCTCATTCTCGGCACTCCGCAGCCAAAAAAATCCTAATCCCCAACCTACACCCCAAAGCCCTTGAAGACTCAAGCCCCTGGACCCACACCACCCTGCACAGCCGGGTGTACTCCGCTGTGAGCAAGTCGGCGCTGGAAGCATGGGTGGCGAACTGCCATGACAAGGCATTCAAAGCCGTTGGGGTTTGGGGACTAGGGGTTGAGGGCTTAGGGTTTAGGGCTTAGGATTCAGGGTTTGGGGATGCGCTGGGTTTAGGGTTTAGGGGTGTGGTGACGTCATGGGTGCTCACTGGTGTGTGCACACCCAGGCCGCTCGCAGCTGTGCGTAGCAGACAGCCCACCCCAAGACCACCGTGAGTTCAAGCATTATAGGGTTTAGTTCTAAAGTATTCCAGGCATCCCAGAGGGGGCTTCGACACAACCGACAGGGGTCGCTACTTTCAACGGGGCCCAGGCAGGATCGAAAGCAGCTCTGCATGTGGGCGTTCTGGGAGTCTGTCCCTTTCTGGGTTGGGCTTTCTTACAGCTGTGCTGGCGGGTTCTTGTGTAGGCTTTCTGTAAGGCTGTCCTGGCGGGTGCCGGAACAAACAATAGGCTTTCTGCGAGGCTGTGCTAGGGGGAGTTGTTATGGGAAAAACAATGCATGTGTTGTTTTTGTGATATGTCCCTTTCTGGATTAGGCTTTCTGCGAGGCTATGCTGGCGGGTTCTCATGTGGGCTTTCTGTAAGGCAGGTGCCGGAAGAAGCAATGGCTTTCTGTGAGGCTTTTTGGCACGGGGTTGTGCTGACAAGGAGCAATGCATGCGGGCTTTCTGTGACTTTGTCCCTTGCTGGATCGGTGAGGCTGTGCTGGCGGGTTGCCGGCTTTCGGTTGGGCTGGCCTGGCGGGCCATCCCTGTCCATTCACATGTAGGCTTTCTGTAATGCTGTCCTGGCAGGTGCTGGAAGAAACAACAAGCTTCTACGAGGCTGTGCTGACGCGAGTCCAACCTAAATGGCACATTTTGTGAGCAGAACTTGGTAGCAGAAAATCAGTTGTCGGCTTCCTGGAAGAGAACAACCGCCAAATCGTGAAGGGTTGGTGGGGGGGTCAAACCCTTGTCGATTTGCGGAGTCGCTTCAAATCGTGAATGGTTGAGGAGGTCAATCCCTTGTCCGTGCGTCGTGACCGCTCCAAATCGTGAAGGGTTGGCGGATCCAAACGCTTCGAGTCGCTCCAAATCGTGAAAGGTTGGGGGGTCAAGCCCTTGTCCATGTGTGGTGACCGCTCCAAATCGTGAAATCGTGAGGGGTAGGGGGGCCCAAACCCTTGTCCATTTGCGGAGTCGCTCCAATTCGTGAAGGTTTGGGGTGGTCCAACCCTTGTCCATTTGCGGAATCGCTGCAAATCGTGGAGGGCGGGGGGTGCAACCCTTGTCGAAAAGAAGTGCTGGCAACTTGAGATCGGCAGACAGCCCAATCTAAATGGCACATTTTAAAAGCAGGATTTGGTAACAGAAAATCAGTTGTCAGCTTCCTGAACAACCGCCAAATCGTGAAGGGTTGGTGGGGGAGGGGGTCAAACCCTTGTCCATTTGCGGCGTCGCTTCAAATCGTGAAGGGTTGGGGGGGGGTCAAACCCTTGTCCATTTGCGGCGTCGCTCCAAGTCGTGAAAGGTTGGGGAGGTCAAACCCTTGTCCATTTGCGGAGTCGCTCCAAAGCGTGAAGGGTTAGGGCGGGTCAAACCCTTGTCCATGTGTGGTGACCGCTCCAAATCGTGAACGTTTGGGGGGAGCAAACCATGGTCCATATGCGGAGTCGTTCCAAATCGTGAAAGGTTTGGGGGGGTCAAACCATTGTCCATGTGTGGCGACCGCTCCAACTCGTGAAGGGTTGGGGGGTGCAACCCTTGTACCCTCTGGCAAAACCCCCGGGTTTAGGGTCTTTACCTTTACCACCCCCGGAGGTGCCCGAGAGGCCGGCAACTTGACCTAGGCTCCACGTACACGGTTTCTGCCGCTCGCGAAGCTCGGGCCGCTTCGGGTTTGTGGTGGCGGTTGTCGAGCCCTGAGCGAAGACTTTAGGGGTTTAGGGTTTAGCTCAATCTTCAAACCCTGACAAGCCATTTACCCCGATCCCTTCCGACGAAGATGCTCACTCTTGAGAAGAAAGC